AACAAGTAGTACAAAACAGACACGAACTAAGCAAAGCTTGGCTACGCTAGGCGGGGCTTGCACTATAAGGTGACGAAAAAGCATGGCGTATAAATATAAAAAAAGCATCCGGCATTGACTAGTTCGCTATTGGGATGCTCCACGTATCCACATCCATGTAAGATCCTAATTGCACTGATTGTGCTTTGGCCTGTACAACGATTTGTGGTGCAATTCAGTGCATACAAGTTAGTGTTTCTCTTCCAGACAGTCTGGTACCAATCAGCTGAATTCAAAGGGATGGAAGGCTAGGTTGGCCCTGGCGACTCACGATCCAGGATTTGATCCCGAACCGGCACGTGGTGAGCGCGCCACTTGCCACTACACCATTTCCTGCAACGAATCAGAATATCAGCGGTTAACGGACGTGCGCCGAATATGCGGAGTCCCCGATATGGTTCCTGCCCCATACGGAGATCGGGAAAATCGGCGAGGTCGGCGGCCACATTTTCGCTGAGTATAAACCGGCACACTGATAATCGAACTCTCACCTCTTTGGCATCCATCACTGTTTGAACACCTACAGTCAATGCCTGTGTCGGTACCATAGACATGTCGCCATTGAAAAATCGTGAGTTAGCCTGTAATCAGACTGTGACTGAAACGGCTAATGAGATTCTAAAAGAAGAAAACGAGTGAGAAATAACGGAATCGGCGGCAGTGACTGAATTTTCCTGGAATCTTTGTCCGGCCAATCTAGGGATTAGTTCAGTCAGACAAAGATTTCATTTGAGGCAACTTTTTGGAGTTCTTCTTGAAGAAGGGTTCATGATAAGATCTTTTTAGATTTTCAGTGAAGGGGGAGGGGTGCTGACAATAAGGAATGCGAAAGTGGTGAGAAAAAGCAGAGAAATCAAAAAATGAAACAATAAAGAAAGCCAAAAACACGCGAAATAGGAACTCCTCGCTTGCCCGTTGACCTTCGACTAAGAATCCGCCTGCCCTTGAAAGCGGTCGCAATAGCCCAGCCAACAATGTTCGTGCTTCGATTAAAGGAGGAATTCACGATTAGAATGAAGGTCGAAGAAAGGGAAACTGACCTAGTTGAGGGACCCACGGACCTCCTGAGGGTGCGAACTGACGCGCAATTCGCATGGAAAAATTTGACCTCGGCGACCTATCATGCCTCAAAGCTGGCGGGTCCGGCGATCTCCGCCCACCGATCATGGCGAGTGATTAGATAGCTGAGAGAGCGTAGTGTTGAAGAGGGCACAGCGATGAGAGTCGCATCAATGCTCAAATCAACGGGCAACGGGCAAGGAAGGGGTACCATTTCTCGGGTTCTGGGCCGTTTCTCATGGTTCTTCCTTCTTTCGTGTACCACTCACCATCCCTAGGTTAATTTGAAATGGGTTGCTTTTTCATCGTGAATTCGTCCTTTAATATCGCTTAATCAATACACAGAAAAAATAGAAGGTATGGCCGAATTAAAGATCCTCTCAAAACGAAGAACGAACGATGATTTTAGATTTTTAGTGAAGGGGGAGGGTTGCTAACAATAAGGAATGCGAAAGTGGTGAACAAGCAGAGTAATTAAAAAACCAAACAATTAAGAAAGCCAAAAACACGCAAAATAGGAAATCCTCGCTTGCCCGTTGACCTCCGACTAAGAATCAGCCTGCATTTGAAAGCGGTCGCAATAGCCCAGCCAACAATGTCCATGCTTCGATTGATATCGCTTTAATAAAATCAATACACAGCAAAAATAGAAGGTATGGCCGAATTAAAGATCCTCTCAAAACGAAGAACGAACGATGCTGCACTTGGCAACACATTGGTGGGCGGAGCACAGACAGAGGCGAAGCACAGACGGGGTTCAGCCGCCTAGTGCTCTGCGGCTAGAACACATTTGGCTGATCGTGAGAAGAGACCACATCTCGCTTCCTTGAGGTCCTGGTTACTGCTTGTGCTGGCGCATGTGCTTCCATGCTACACACACACTTGATCATTATCCCTTGCCTTGAACTAGCATCCAGAGTAGAACTTAAGTGCAATACCTCGCTATTTTTGTGACGAAAAGGTCTTGCCAAGTCGTGCGGTGATGATCTACGAAGCCTATTCTTTTTTCGCAAGTACCATACACATCCTAAATCTAGCCCCTCAACCTGGTTGGCCGGCAAAAATCCGTGTGATAATGTGAATGGATGAGCTGAATATATGTGCAGTCAATGACAAAAAGTGTTGAAGGAGGATTCCACGGTAAGAACGAAGGCCGAAGAAAGGGGAAGATGCCTAGTGGAGAGACTGGCGAACCTCCTGGGGGTGCGGACTAACACTATCATCACATTGCCGCGCGGGTCTGTCGCGCGAGTGATTAGGCAGTCAGAGAGACCTTAGCGTGAAGAATGGCATAACGATGCAATTTGCATCAATGCGGAGCTCAACGGACAAGGAAAGGATCCCATTTCTCGAGTTTCAGGCCGTTTCTCATGGATTTTTCTTCTGCATCATTCACCATCCTCAATGTAATTCGAAATGTGTTGATTTTTCATCGTAATTCTGACTTTTAACACGTTGACGACAGCGTGACGCGGTAACGCGTCCCACTTTGCGCACCTCGTGGGACATTGTGACGCGGTAACGCGTCCCACCCAAGTCTTCCTTTTTCTTGCGCTTGTGCGACTTATTCCTAAGGTCTTTGTACTCATTCTATAGGTCATACATTAGCATACCTAATAAACATATGGCTCACAGAAAGAAATATTCTTTAGTTTGGCAGACGTTTTAGGACTTACGATATGTCTGTTCAATTCATTCCTCGTTTTCTTTTCAATAACGTAGACATGTTGATAAAAAGGAATAACAGAAGTGAATACAAACCTATTCGTATGGGAAGATATGTGTTTTTACTGAAACAACCACGTCCAAATTAATTTTGGAACACTAAAGGGAAATAAGTAAAATTTCCCTTTCATGGCCTTAACTCGTCACTCTGGTCTCGGTCAAACTTCCATTACTGTAACTCTTGATTACAACTTCAAACGGATGGGTTTAATGTGAGGCGCTCCGCTCGCAAAATGCTCTTAGCCCAGGAGCGTCAAAAGCGAAAACGCGGCGATGTCGTAAGTGTTAAGAATCATGAAACAGTACAGGGGATCCCCTAAATTCCAGTTCTCTCCTGAAAGCTAGTGATGTGCTATGAACTCCTTTCCGTGGAAGCTTTGGACGACTTCGAGTCTAGAGACAGTCATAGTTAGTGAAAAAGCTGGATATTGAATACCGAAGCGAATTCTGCCTTCAACGCATCAATGAATCGAAAAGCATTGTATTTGATTTGGGCAAAGTCTTTAAGAAAAAAAAAACAGTTGAAATGTACCCAAAAGGGATTTTCCATATGACAACTGAAAGTATTTATTGTTACCACTATGCTACGCGTCACTTTACTGCCTGGGGGTGGATGGGGTGGAGGGGCATAAGTAAAAGGCATTTTGTTCCCTATTCAGATTGGATTCTATCCACCTAATCCTACAAGCAGAAGTTTGGTGAGTTTGTCCGTCTGTTTGCTCTAAACCGTCTTATGACAGGTTTGCTCTAAACGTTGACCACTCAGAGGCAACGTTTCGCCTAATGTGGGCGGGCTTCCACTAAGTTTCAGGTATGTTTAGGAGACCCTAGATATTGTCTCCTAAACCGATTTTACTACGGCTCAATAGCCCTTTCTCATACCAGAGTTATGAGTTTTTCTTACTGAGAAACACTTCCAGAGAACGCTCCGCCCACAACGGGCGGGTCTCCCAGTTCCGACTTTTCAATTCAGTACACACCTTTATCCATTTTTTCGGTATTTGTGATCACTAATACACAAACTCAAGACTTCTGCCGTCGGCAGCTCCTGATTCGACGCGTGCCCCGCCCACTGTGGGCGGAGTTTCCCATGGTCCATGTTTGCCCCGTGTAGCCTGACTCATTCTCTACCCATCCCGAACTTGACCTGGACTCTGAAGGTGGTTGCTTAGAGATAGTACCTAGTTTTTTCAAATAGACACACAAAGGCTTAGCGCCGTCCACTTATCCACTCTGTACCATAAAAACAGAAGTTTGGGTGTATTGTCGTCTGTTTGTAAGCAGTAGATTGCTACGTAGATCCAATGAAATCGAGCTCAATGGCGTCTTTAAAGGATTGTGTAACGTAACGAGCTTTACTGGATAGCAAGTTACGAGGGGGCTTGCGTAATGGGAGCTAATGTCTCTAGGAAACTATTCAACATTGAATCGATTCACAAAATTATATGCGATACGCAGCCAGGCTGAGGCAGTTACTGTAGCTCTCCGACGACGATGACAGACGAAGTCATTTTCTGAATGCGGTGCAAGCAGTGAAGGAGGGCCTGCGTCTACTTATAGAGGGACGCTTAGGGAATACTTCGCGAGGAACTTCGTCTACGACGGCAATCTGTGCGAAGAAATTAGGGCCGACGAAAATAGGGGCCGAATAAGTGCGGCATGGGCAAAATGTCTTTTTTTGCCCTCTCCCCTGTAGTTCGATAGCTCTGGTTGACAAGATTTGGTGAAGATCATAGGAATGAACAGCAAAGATTGAGTTAAATATTCTCGCAGTGGGAGGTGGGGAGGGGGGCGTGAAAATAACTCTGCTGGAAGAGGAAAATACTGGAGAAGCTATACCTGTATCGTATCCGCATTGAGAGTTTTCAGCCGAGTACGTGATGAAAGCGAACTTCCAGGTTCATTAAATGCTATATGACCATCGGGTCCAATTCCTGATCAAAAATGGAGATGTAACATTAAATAGACTTTGTGGCATGAAGTACAAGTACAGTGTGAGCTATAAGGAAGTCAAAGGGTAAGGAAGAGGTGCTAGCAGAGAAGATGGCGAGCGGTAAGGGCAAGTGGGACAGCATCTACGCAACCACACAATGAATGCTGGATGGAACGATTCAAGCCCTTAGAGGCACAAGTCGCGATCAATTTGGTGTGTTATTTTAGTCAAAAATTAGAAAAGAAGTGCGAAGAAAGACGGGAGAAAGCAAAGAGCATTGTGGTAAACACTGAAATTTTTGATATGAGGTCAGCCATGGTACAATGGAAAGACGAAACACTACGAGGGGAGGGAAAACACGATGGAGTGTGCGAGGGAGAGCGCAGACACTACGTGTGTTGCGATTGATAAGTTTGGAAGCGGTCGCAGCGGACAGGCTAAAGCACTTGCTCCTGCTTCCAAGTCGCGACAGTACCTCCACCACTTTGGTTGCGGGTCCAGCTATGTACCTCACTCAAAAAAATAACTTCTTTAAAGGCAAAGTTCGGGCTCAGACCCACTTAATGAGCCTTTACGGTGGCTAGAAGCGCTAGGTACGCAAGTGTAGAGGTCGCGTCACTTCCCTACTTCGAAAAGCGTTATTTAGACGCTAGGCGCTAAGAACTTTGACACGCTCCACCTGTTGCGACACGCTCCGCCCACCGCTCGATATCTTGTCTGCGTCGCAATGTTGATCTGCTATGCTCTCTCTACTTAGACTTCTCTAGCGCTCTCCGCGCTCACATTATCTCTCATCTCCCTGCCGGCCTTTTGAACTTCTCCGCACCGTAGAGGAAATGGCTCGTATTTCCTAAGCATTTCACGATTTCTTTTTCTCTTTTCTGCACTGGCGGTCCACTACCTACCCCTACTTTCACATT